ACGGCCAGCCCCAGGTACAGGAGCAGCACCTGGGATCCCAGATTCTTAGGTCAGGTGCCCGGCAAGGGACCGTGTGGCTGGGAGGATGTGGGTTTGAGGCTGTGGCGCCCCACGAGCTGGGAGCCTCCAGCCTCTCTGCTGCTGCCACAGGTTTGAGCTTCACTCTTGGTGGGTCAGGCAGGGAGCTTGTCACAGTTCGCATTGGGGACGTTTGTCGCCTAGTCCCATGAAGAACAGTTTGGGTGCCCCATGCAGTGGGCTCTGCAGGGTGAGGGGGAGGGCATAGCCTCCCTGAAAGGCCTTGGGCACGAGAGAAGCAGGCAGCTGGGCTGCAGAGCAGAGCCCAGGAGGGGTGGGCAGAGGAAGGGCAGGCTGGGCGCCCTGCTCCACAGGCCGGACTGGGCCGCTGGGGCCTTGGGCAGCCTCTTTGTGTTTCCCTGTGGGCCTGGTAGGAGAGCTGGGGCCATGTTGCTGCCCAGAGCACCTGCTGGCTGGCACACCCCCTGCCCCGTGGGTATAATTAGCGCTGTGACAGGTGCTAGGGATCGCGTGCCCAGCCCAGCCCTGACCCAGTGCGGCCTGGCCTTGGCTGACCTGCCGCACCCTCCCCTGGCCCAGCCCAGGACCTCCAGGTCTGTAGCCACACCCACCTTCCCGGGCTCCCTCTGTGCTGCCAGGATGGGCGGGCTGGGGTCTGGCAGAGGCAGCGGGTGGGCCGAGCCCTGAGCCGTGGCCTGGCTGCAGGTTCTGGGAGTCCGCAGGCTGGCCCAGCCCCGCCCTGCTCTCAGTCTGTGCCCAGGGCTTGCAGTTGCTGAGGGGCCTCTTATGGGTGGGTGAGGGCCCAGGTGGAACCTCTCTGGCCTGGTGGCCTCAGCCTTCCAAGAGGAAGCCTTTGCCCCAAGACTTGGGCAGAGCCTATGGGGCCCCGTGGTCACTCAGGGGGCCTGGCCTGGCCCTCTTTGCCCTCCCCGTGCAGCGCCACAGCCTCCAGCCGGCCCACCCACCCGCACCCCTTCTCTCTGCAGTGCAAGAAGAAACACACGCTGCTGTGCCCCGACTTCGCCCGCAGGGGGGCGTGTCCCCGCGGCGCCCAGTGCCAGCTGCTCCACCGCACCCAGAAACGCCACAGTCGGCGGGTAGCCACGTCCCCTGCCCCAGGGCCCAGCGACGCAGCTGCCAGGAGCAGGGCCTCGGCCAGCCACGGGCCCAGGTGATGGGGCAGTGGGCACTGTACATGTGAGCCTGGGTGGCCCCTCCCTGTCCAGGGAGATGCTCAGGGCCCTCTGGTTGAGCCCCCCAACTCCAGCTCTTTGGGCCTCAGACCCAGAAATCCCAATCCAAGACTGGGGATCACATGACCTCCAGAGATTCCCCTACCCCACTTTCAAGTCTGGACAGAGCCAAGGGCATTCCTGGCCGATGGAGGAAGGTGGGGCTTCACAGAGACCTGCTCACTGGGAGAGGGTGGGAGGCCCAGCCCCCGGAGGAGTCTGGGGGCTCCCTCATCCAGCCCCCCTGCTATGTGGGTGTGAGAGCCCCATGGAGACCAGGAAGCCAAGGCCCTGGACGTGAGGGGCAGGCTTGTTGTGGAGCTGGGGCCTTCTCCACACCCAGCCTGTCCTTGCGGCCAAGGACCAGGCTTGACCTGTGCCTCTAGCTCACCCTGAGACCACGGGGCGCCACGGGAGCAGGAAGCAGCCAAGAGCATGGGCAGCCTGTCGCTGGGATCCCCGCCTGTCACCCCACTTCACACGTCTGCCCCTTCCTTCCCTGCAGGAAGCCCTCGGCAGCCCAGCGTCCCATCAGGCAGACGCCCAGCTCCCCTGCCCTCACTGCAGCTGCGCTGGCTGCACCTCCCCGCTCCCCATGGGGGTCAGCCTCTCCCTCATCCTTGAAGGCTTCCTCCTCCTCTTGTTCCTCCTCCTCCTCATCCCCTCCCGCTTCCTTGGACCATGAGGCACCATCTCTCCAGGAGGCCGCCTTAGCAGCGGCACGCTCCAACAGGCTCTGCAAGCTGCCTTCCTTCATCTCCCTGCAGTCCTCACCGAGCCCAGGAGCCCAACCCAGGGTCCGGGCCCCCAGGGCCCCCCTCACCAAGGACTCAGGTAGGCAGCGTGACCTGGCTCAAGCACAGGGGAGTTTTAAATGCCCACCTCAGACCACCACGTCAGAATCTCCAGGTGGGGCCTGGGTGAGTCCCGCAGGCGCCAGGGGTGCACCTGCCAGCCCTGGGGCAGGGCCAGCCAAGGTGCGAGTGTAGCAGTGGCCGCTGTGCAGTCCGCCCCAGCTGAGGGCTGATTTAATTAGAAAGCACCCATTTCTGTTAATTTGTTCTGGAAGATCACCACGCACTCCTGGAGAGAACAGATGTTCCCTCTCCCCCGATGAGCATTTGGGGCTTGGTAAATGGCTCCACTCAGCCTTGTTTAGGAGAGAAAAGAGGATTTTATGGCTGCAAACGACCCTTTCTGTAAACATTTTACAGCTCTCCGCGCGTTTGAGTGACGATAAACCCCACGCAGCTCGGCGGGCTGCAAATTTGCGACCATACGGCTATCATTTTATTGTCATATTTCACGGTCGTAACGTTAATGGAAGATGCTTGCTGCAGCCTTCTCCAACAGCTCCGCTGAGCACGCTCAAACGCCTGCCTCGGGGGGCCGCCTCCTGTTCACAGCCTTCACATCAGGGGCATGGAACCGTGGCCAGACCCTCTGCCCCACGAGACCTGGGCACCCGCTCCCTCCATCTGGGTGGGCCTCTCTGGGTTGGGGGAGCAGATGGGGCCCCGAGGCAGCCACTATTTTTTTTTTTTTTTAAAGATCAGGAACCTAGCAGCCAGTTCCAGAGCCAATGGAGGTGGGCAGGGTGCTGAGGGGTCCAGTGTGCAGCTTGGGTGGGGCCCTGGAAAGGCTGCAGAAACCTCCCCTGCTTGGCCATGGCCAGGAGCTCCGGCAGGTGGAGGTGCCTGGGACAGTCTCTGGGCAGGAAGCTGGAGCTGCTACTGGAGCGGCCACCGCAGGGGCAGGCTGAGAGGGCAGAGCCTGTGTAGTCTGTAGCCTGGGCCCTGGCTGCTGGGCCCAACTCAACTGTGCGTGGGTGAGCGGGCTCATCAGCCCTGAAGAGGGGCACCTGGGCAGGGCCAGTCCTGTGGGCAGCTACACGGAGGCATCTCTATTCAGCGGGCCACCTCGGTGCCTGTCAGGTGGTCTGGAGATCTGGGGAGGGAGGAGAGGCGCTGGCACCCAGTGAGTGAACATTCATGGGGCAGGAGCCCCTGGGCTTCCCCACTGTGGGGAACTGCTCCCTCCTACGCTGCCTGCCTCCAGGCCCTGCCCGCCTCACCCTGGGGCCTCTGCTCTGCTCCTGCCCCTCCCCGCCACAGCTCATGTGCACCCCGACTTGCCACATGGAAGGTGTATCGTGGCCGCCTCACGTGTCTGGCAGCCTCACTGATTGTGCGGGGTTGTCTGGTGCTGTGTGCGCCAGTACTGACGGCTCACCCTGTAGACCTTGGGGCCGGGACTGCTGCCCGCCCAAGAGGACCCTTGGACTGTAGGCAGAAGCCTCAGTTGACCTCATAGACTGAGCCTGCACCATGGCTAGACAGCCACAGAGGCTCACCAGGACCCGTTGGCAGCAGGGGGCAGAAGCTGAGGCCTGTGGCCTGACTGTACTCCTCTCTCTAGAACTCGGGGGGGTGTCTGCAGACCCTGCCATGTGTGTTTAGGCTGACAGAACTCCCCCGTCCTGAGCCCCTGACCAGGAGCTTTGCAGGCTGGGAGGTTCTTCGGGGGTTTCCTGGCACCTGACTTTTGCCCTCTCTACATAGGGAAGCCTCTGCACATCAAACCGCGTCTGTGAGGACCCCAGGAACCGGCCTGCACCTACCTCAGACCCTCATCCTTGGAGAGGAAAGAGGCTCTGTCTGCCACTCTGTCCCAGAGGAGGGCCGCCCGCCACCAAGCCTCACCTGGGGGCCACAGGGACACTGCTCTGCCTGCCTGGCCCTCAACCTTCCATGACCAGCGTGTGCCCAGGGCCTGGTCTTCCTCCCCCAAGCCGGGCCCCTGTCCCCACCCCACCGCCCTCCAGGGTGCCAGGCAGGGCTGGCCTCCAGGCCTGTCCCCGACTGCCATTGGCAACAGTGGCCCTGCAGCCCCCCAGCCCTCCCCACCCAGGTCTTCGGCCCAGTGAAGAGGCCACTGGCCGGGCCTCCCAGGCAGGTGTTTTATGTTCAGCAATAAAGGTTCTGTCCGTAACTGGTTGGCTTGTCCTGACTCTTGCCACTGCCAGGTGGAAAGCACCGCGCCTCTGGGCAGGACTATGGGGCCCTTTCCTACCTCCCAGGATAGTTCAGAAGTCAGAAGGAGCTACTCCTTGGACCTGAGCAGCACCATCTGGGGTGGGGAAGGCCTAGGGGGCACTCTGGGGCCCCAGGTGCAACAGGCTGGAGCCATGGTGGGCGGGGCAGCTCAGCCAGCTCCCAGCTCCCCCACTCTTCACGGGTGCCCCTGCTGGAGGGGCCTGGCCAGAAGGCCTGGCTGAGGTTGTGTCAGGGACCCTGGATTGGGGGAGGCAAGTCTTGGAGGGGCACAGGCTCCTCTAGGCATCCGTTCCCACCTTCCCTCACCTCCAGAGAAATGGGGGGTTGCCCCGGGGGAGGCAGGCCAGCAACGCCTTCAGGGCCCCCACAGTGCAGCCTGGAGTCAGATGCATGAGCCTTGTGCCCTCTGCCTGCCTGGGCTCCGGGTGGGTGGCACTGCCACTGCCCAGCCCACACCCCGCAGGGCCCCTTGGCCTGGTCCACGCTTGGGCGGGGAGAATGCTCCGCCCCCTCGAGGTCCTGGACTCCACCCTGGAGTGGAGCGTCCTGACGTTGGCATCAGAGGGGACGAGGCGCGAGGCTGGTGGGATGGTTCTACCAGGGCGCGTGCTGGGTGACACGGCGGCAGTTTCCAGTTCTTTCCATGGAGGTCGTCGCTGTGACCTCTACCCTGAGCCCCTGGGACCCAGCCTGTAGCCTTGGCCCTGTTGCAGCCAGATTGGGTGGGATGGCAGATTCTGGAAGCCAGAGCTGTGGGCGGGGTGTGCCCAGCTGGCTTCTGTCCCCTCCAGCACTGGCCCAGCTCACCCAGACCCAGGTGTTCACAGGGGCTCGTGTCCTTGTTCGGGACCCCAGATTTGAGGGTGGGCACCGGGTGGACATGAGGCAGCCAGATCCTCTAACTTCTCTTCGTGCCACTGGCAAGTGTCTGCTGCAGGCCCAGTGGGCAGCTGGACCCACCCATGGGTGCCACTGCTTTCAGCCGCCCTGGGGCTGGCACACGGCCCTGAAACATGAAATGTCCGTGGGTGGTGGGTGGTGGGGGGTAGGGAATAGGCGCCCCGTCCACCCAGCACCTGTCTGGGACTTTGAGCGCTGCCATCTGACACACGGCATGGCCACTTGCAGGCCTGGAGCACTACTCGTGGGCAAGGGGTGTGACGGCAGTTCAGCGCCAGGTCCACTGTCCCCAAATGCAGCCCCCGCCCCGGAGCAGCCAGCAGGAAGGTTCAGAAAAGGCTGGCCACTGCCTTCGGGGGGCACCATGGTGTCCCAGCACCCCACCTGGGGACCTTGTGCAGCCCGGGCTCTGCCTGGTCACAAGTCCCTGCGTTTCCCCTGCATGGAGTGTGCCCATTTGGTCACATGAGGCCCCTCATGCCAAGGGGCAGCTGGCAGCAGACCAGTGACTGCCAGGGCACCTGGCCAAGGGACCCGGGAGGCTGGGACTAGGAGAGTCCCTGCCCCTGCATTGACCATGGCCCCAGCTGAGGACAGCCTGGTGGAATGTACCCTGCTGGGGTGGTCAGACAAGGAGGGCTTCCTGAGGAGAGGGGTGCGTAACCCTGCACCCAAGCCCATGCATGCAGCAGAGTGGTGTGTACTGGGGCAGCCGGAGGGAAACCCCACAGCGGAAGCACACGGCACCCTGGGGGGTCCTCAGAGCCCTGGTGGGGCATGGCCGGGTCCCAGGCAGGTGATGCCCCCACCCAGCGCCAAGCAGATGGGTTTTAGGGCTGTTGCCTCGTCTGAGGGAGATGTGATGGCCACAGAGGTGGGAGCCGTGGGCAGAGTCCAGGGCCACTGCGGGAGGTGGATGGGCGAGCGGGCGGGGGGGCAGCAGTGACTTCAGAGTGTGGCTCTGTGTCCCGTGCGCCTGGAGGGGTGTCGGCTGGGCAATCAGATGCTGGCCTGGAGTCCCCTGGGGGCTGGGAGGTGACCGAAGGGTGAGTGTCTGGGGGTCAGCCGGGAGCGCCCGCACCTTCCTGGGCTAAGCCTGTGCCCATCCTGCCTCTGGGCTGAGGGCTGACCCTGCGTCGCTTAGCGCCCAGCAGCACGGGAGCTCAGAGGGCAGGGAGTTGGGCGTGTCGTGGCTGAGCGAGCGCCCTGACTGGCGCCTGGCATACAGTAGGCGCACCATCCGTGCTTGAGTAGGGGCACAAGAAAGGGCGGAGCAGCGACAGGCTGAGGAGGGACTCAGGAGGCCCTGGGCTTGTTTTTTGGTTGTTTTGTTCTTAAATGCAAATGAGCCCCTGCATGGAGGAGGGGCGCCCGGACAGCAGGAGCAGGGTGGGGGTGGAGGCAGCCCCAGCAGCCCCTATCCCAGAAGACACAGAGCCTCTGTCTGCGGGACAGAGAAGGTTCTGTCTCCTGTGATCACTTCCGCCCAGCAAACGCAGGCACCGGGGGTGTGGGGGTTCTCCCACCTAAATAAATGCCTCCATAATGACACTCCACTCCAGGCCCCACGCGAGGCTCAACGCAGTTCCGAGCACTCACTCTTGGGGTGGCAGGGTGAGGTTCAGGAGGCCCACGCATGGCCTGGCAGGGTCAGCTCAGCCCTCCTGTGCCCCGTGCTCTGGCAGGGGTGGAGGAGCTGTGCCGGGACAGTCCCCTCAGGCCCCTCCCTGCCGTCAAAGGCATGAGCTCAGGGCCCCAGCAGACAGCAGACTGCGTGGGGTCCCATGGTGGACAGCAGAGAGGGCTGTGGGGGTCAGGTGGTGAACACCCCAACCTCCCTGTCCCTCCTCGTACCAGGTTTCCCTCCACCCAGAGCCCTCTGGGGACCCACGATGACTTCCTGGACCCTACACCAGCCCCCATGGGCTCTGATCTTGACCCAGCCACCCTGGGCCCTTCTGGCCCCTCCCAGGCAGTGGCTCTGGGCTCCCTGCTCCCTGGCCTAAAGGGCTGGCCCCTCCATCTGCTCAGGTGTCCGTGAGGCCCCAACCCCACTAACCCAGAACTCCCCATCTAGCCAACCTTCTACCTTCTCACAAACGTGTGGGGCACAGGCCTTGAGGTGGCCTCATGACCCACCCCCCCCCAGCGTTCCCACCCTTGGGTGACCCCTTTCCTCCAACAGACTCTTGGAGGAAACTCGTCCGAGGCACGTGCATCCCTCCACCTTTCTCTCTTGGATGCACACACTGGGAACCAGCAGCCATGCTGTGAGGAAGCCCAACCAGCTGCGGGGAGCAGCCCTGTGGAGGTGTCATAAGCAGCTGTTTTGGCCGACAGCTGTCACCATCTGCCAGGCCTGGGTGTGAAGACCCTGCCCAATGGCACCATCCATCAGCTGACCTGTCACCCCAACCCTCAAGTCCTCCCAGCTGTCAGGACCAGAGGAAAGCTGTGCCCCTATTCCCAGGACACATCTCCCCCTTACAGAGCCCATGGATAAAATAATGCTGCCTTGTGCCATCAAGCTCCAGGGGGCTTCTCAACAAGCGACCCTGGCCACCTTCCAGATGGGATGTGCCCCCTAGGCCGGCTGGTTGACATACACTAGGTGCTCAAGAGAAGCCTGCTGGGTGTATTGAGTTACCCAGCCACACAGACGGCCCCTGTGGAATTCTGTGAGGACCAAATACTGAAAGTTTGGAGGGTGTGAGAAGCCCTTGGGTGGGAGGCTGGCGGGAAGGGAGAGTGCTTCTGGGAGCCCAGGGAACAGCCGTGCACGGGTGAATTCTAGGGAGCCATCCTGGCTCGGTGGTGACAGCACCAAGCCTCGAGGAGGGCTTGGCAGGCTTGGGGTAGGTGGGTTAGGGCCGATCTTTGAGGCCACCCCAGCCTCCACCACCTTATCCCACCTCTCAGAGCAAGATGAGGCACTTAGGCTTCCTATGGGTGGTGGCAGGATGGGGGTGCCACCGAGTCCAAGCATGGCTGTGGGGTCAGCGTCCCTCAGCCTGTGGTCATAGCTGTGACCCCTGGGAGGGTTCCCATTGCAACAGCCTGGGGTCAGGCACCTCCTTCATTCCCACGGATGTGCCAGAGTCTCCTGGGCTGGTGACCAAAAACCCTCCCCTGGTCTACTTGGCCTGGCAGGAGCCACAGTGCGACGGGTTGGGGGGTCGGGTGGGGGCAGTGAGGACACAGCACAATGCAAACACTCTCTCTTTCCTCTTGAACTCCCTTTCCAGCGTGCCCCAGGGCCGCCAGGGTGTGGTGCCTAGAAATGCTGCTAAACCCTTGAAGCGGCCGTGGAAGGGCCCTCTAGCCCCAAGGCGTCTTGCGGGGCTGCAGGTACAGCCAACCTCGACTACCACCAGCTCTACTGCTCGGTAGCATCCTCCCTTCCCGGGCCTCCGTCTTGATGCAGGGTGCCATAAAGGAAACCCCACACCCCTGGCTGGTGGACCACTCATGTGGTCTTAAGTCCAGGTACCTGGTGTGGGGACTTGGCTGCTGCATGCCCACTTCATTTCTTCATCTATAGAAGGCTCATGATACTGGGAGGGTGGTTGTGAGGCCACCAACCTGCAACACTGGTTGCAGCGTGGAGTCCTGAATGAGCTGAAGCAGCATGGAGTCCTGAATGAGCTGAAACGGGTGGGGAGCTCAGAGTCCCCTCTGGGACAGGGTCGGGGGAGAGGGGTCCCTGCAGGTGGGTCCTCATGCTGTCCTTGGCCCTGCCTTGCAGGGAGGAAGGCCTGGTCTTCCCAAATCTGCAGTCCCAGCTCTGCCCAGAGGAGTGGGAGGGTCCAGGGGAGGGCCAGGGACACCCCGAGACACCTTAGGAAGCAGGTGTTCAGTCCTCACTGCATGACCCTCTGGCTACAAAACCATCGATCTTTGTAGAGGGAAGGAGGTGAGGGCCTGGCACTAAATCAGTGGCGCCCTGACCAGGCCTCCCCATGGCCTCTGTGCAACTTATTCCAGGTTATTTTCTCTACACAGGTGGTTACATTTTAGACTTATTTTTTTAATTGT